GGTCTGATGCTCACCAGGACCCTCTGCAGACTCACGGAGTTGCAGGCCAATGATGCAGAAAGGCGGTGCAAGTACAGGGCCAGGGGCTTATTTTTCATATGGCTTCTTCTAACCCAAGCCTCTAACTCCCCTTACATGACCTTTCCCCGCGTGGGTCTGTAAGAAGGTGGAGGCAGAGACTGATAGGATTCACCTGTGAGTCATTAGGAACAGGATCCCCTGCTTTGCCTTCCTGCTGGCAAATGCGCAATGCGCCCTCTGAGAAGCAGGAGGAGGGATCTCATGACCAGCAAGAGCCAGGAGTGGAGCGCATCTTCTGGAACCGAGATCCCTGCGCAGTGACCCTCCTGGACCCGGAAGTCAGCTCAGTATCAGAGGAGCAGCAGCAGAACCAGGAGCCAGAACACGGAACAGTGATGGACTTCTCAGCCCATGAAGCAAATACACCACAGTGGGATGCCTTGGCCCACTTAATTCAGGATGTTGGACATGGAAGTGGAGCTGAATGCCCTCAGGCTGAGGCTTACTAGAATGAGGTGCCTCTGCCCACTTAAGGAAGGTGGGCTAGCTGACCCATGGAAGTGAAGCTGTGCCTTTGGACTGAGGTTTTATTGGAGTTGGGCACCGCTTGGCATTTAATTCAAGGAGCTGGGTTTACTGACCCATGGAGTTTAAGCTGAATGCTGTTGGTTGAGGCCCTATGGGCATTTATTAGCTGACTTGACAAAACTTTCGTAACATGTCCTGATAAACAATTCAACCCCGGAGCATTTCTTGCTGGCATTACAACTTAACTTCCTTAATAAACCCTTTAATCATGAATTGTGTCTGTGCGTTCTATGTAGTCATTGCAATGGATATTAGAGCCCTGAGAGAGGTAAAATAGAGAACATCCATCAAGACAATACAGAGGGAGCTGGGAGATCACAGGCCAGTGGGGGCAGGCTGGTGGATCCAAGGTCGGTCCAAGGAAGACATGATAGGATGCCCAAAGCTTGGATGTTGGCTCCCAGTCAGTGGCCCACATGGGATCACCCCTGGAGGTAGAGTCCCGGCAAGGAAGGCAAAGGGCCAGAGAGAATTCTCATCCTCTTAGAAGTCTAGACCCTAAGCAGGCAACATCAGACCGAGGCCCGACTGGTAGGTGGGACTCCACTTTCACACAGGTGCCAAATATCTGTCACAGTTACTATGATGCTGAACAGGTTTCAGTGGGGTTTCCAGACAAAGACAAATGGGGAAGGGCCTAAAAATCAATCACTGTGCATCCTATGGAGAACTGTTTGACCCCCAATATGATGTGGCAGTATGCTCCCCTAACGACTGATTGCCTCAAAAACCAAGGGAGTATTCTACTGTTGTGGGGTGTCTCTCAGGCAGAATCAACTCTAATTTTTTAATTACATTTTTATGAGAGTCAGCCAATGTATCACCTGTTTTGTCCTTTTGGGGGCCACACATAGTTTCAGAGATAGATGAAAGCAGTTGGCTTCTATACATACAGCCTCCAAAATGAGTTCTCTACAACAGGGCCAACCTGAGTCAGAATAGATT